GGCCCACATAAACAGAATTTTAGAGTACAAATACGATAGTACAAAATAACATAAAATATATTGAAAAATAAAATCTAGAAAAATCTTTCTAGGATGAAAATAAACTCACTAACAAGATACAGAAGAAAACCTTGGTTTTCTAAATCTGAGTCTTTTTTTTTCAAAACAAATTTTGTTCAAAATTTGCTTTGACTTGATATATTGGTCATATAATCTAATAATCCTAAAAATTAAAAATAAGGAATATAAAATACTCGCTACTCACTCGTATTTTTAGACTTTTAGACATACTATTTATATAGGAAAGATGGCCGAGTGGTTTAAAGGCGTAGCATTGGAACTGCTATGTAGGCTTGTGTTTACCGAGGGTTCGAATCCCTCTCTTTCCGTACCTTAAGTCAATTTACCGAATTGACTATCACCAAAGGATTCAACCCTAGCAATGAATCTAGTGATCCCTTGGCTCTTTATCTCTGAGACAGAGCTTTAATAAAGTAGCATCAAACCCGGATTTATCTTAGTTCACTTTAAGTAAATTGAGTTTCCCGAAAAAAGTTGGAGTAACCTCTATTATGTTCGTTAGATTTAAGTCTGACGAGAATAATATTCTACGACTAGCAATTCATTTATCTTCAAACCGACCGATTTAGTATCTATTATGTTATTTACTAAGCCTTTATACGGCGCTGGGTGAATGGTTAAATGGTTTGGTAATTCCTCGTGATAATTTTGAAAAAGATCTCCTACTGATTTTTGGTTATTCTTCGGCGTAATAATATCTCGAGGTTTGCAGCGATAACTGGGTATATTGACTATACGATCATTCACTAAAATATGTCGATGGTTAACTAATTGACGAGCTGCAGGAATAGTAGAAGCCATACCCAATCTAAAAAGTATGTTATCCAAACGCATTTCAAGTAATTGGAGTAAAACTTCCCCTGTGGACCCCTTGGCTTTTCCGGCAATCCGAACGTAGTTAATTAACTGACGTTCTGTAAGACCATAATGAAAACGCAATTTTTGTTTTTCTTCTAGGCGAATACGATATTGAGATTTTTTCACGGAACGAGATTGGTTTCGAAGATCCCGTATATCGCTAGGCTTTTTATTAGTTAGCCCTGGTAAAGCCCCAAGACGGCGTATTTTTTTGAAACGAGGTCCCCGATAACGCGACATAAATACTCCTTTTTTTTATTATTGTTTAGTATTTCAATACATATGTATTGTTGCTGTGTACTCTGATATTCTATTATGATGCTTTATTTTTAATTTCTATAAGTCCCCTCCCTCGTCGCTCTAGAATTATCTGTGTCATTATCTCTATCACTATCTTCTCTCCTATTATCACTAGAATTAACTTTCTTAGTGTCACTATCAGTCTATTTCTAAGTATCGCTCTCTGTTCAACAATCCAAAAGTTATCCTCCCAATTGTTCATCGTAATATCTCCTTAAGATAAATCTTAATATAAATAAAGCCTTTTTTTTTATTATGTTTCTGATTTCAGATTTGAGCTATGCTTTTTTAACTTGAAAAGAACCACCTATTAAATATTTAATTTCATATTTAACCTATCTAGATCATATATCATATATTTTATATTCATATATAATATTTCATATGGATTTTAACGGAAATATTTAGAATAGATATATTTTAATATAAATTTAATATAAACATAAATTTAAATACTAATATGGATGATAAACGGAAACCCTATTTTCTATATAACGTTTGATATTGAAATGTTCAAATTGAATAAAAAGAAGAAATAGCAATATAAAACCTTAATAGAACCTTACGAAACTCTACCCATCTCTTTTTTTTATGTTATATATATGATATTTGATAGATAAAGAAATCGTATGCCAGGAACCAGATTTGAACTGGTGACACGAGGATTTTCAGTCCTCTGCTCTACCAGCTGAGCTATCCCGACCCATTCCCAAGATAGATACTCATTTGATTAGGTCGTGGGATATATATCTATATCTATATCAATTCTACATTCTACAATTCTATATCAATATCAATGCAATGAAAAGATAAAAAGCGGATTACAAACTTTTAGAAAAGTCCTAAAATTGAGTTTTATTTTCACTTCAAAACTCAAATATGTTACTTTTGAATTCAAGTATTCAAATCGCTCACAGGAATAAGACTTATTAGAACTTATAATAAAATAATAAAAGGACCTTTAGACTTTAGTTTTCACTTTAAACAACCACAAAAAACCACCACTAAAAAGACAAAGGGAGGGGATAAGGATAGGAATCTACTAGGTTTTTGGGGATAGAGGGACTTGAACCCTCACGATTTTTAAAGTCGACGGATTTTCCTCTTACTAAAACTTTCATTTTTGTATGTATTTACATGTAGAAAAGGACTCTCTCTTTATTCTTGTCCCATTCAGAAGTTTGGTTCGTAAAATCGAAATTTCAGAATCTATTATGGAATTAATGATTCAATAAATTCAATGAATATTAAAGTAGTTAGTTTAGTCAAATCCCTTTGTTAGAATAGCTTCCGTTGAGTCTCTGCACCTATCCTTTAAGTTTTTTCAAAAGGATTTGGATCAGGATTGCCCCTTTTATTAATTCCAGGGTTCCCCTGAATTTGAAAGTCATCACTTAGTAAGTTTCTATACCAAGGCCCAATCTAATTAAGTCCGTAGCGTCTACCAATTTCGCCATATCCCCTTTTTTTATGTTGATCCCCCGTATGGGGAGGCATCTCGTGTACTCATTTATTTCATTTAGCTTCAAACATTCCATTCATTAGCATTCATCAGAGAGTTTTTTCTCTTCTTTTATTTTTTAGCTAGCTAAAAAATAAAGTACATTCAAAGATTCAAATAAATTTCTTTTTTGTTTACTCATTCTAAATAAGAATGAAATCTTCCCACGTTTTTTTCTTTTTTTTTTATTGAATTATCGTGTATATTCAAGTTCGGCCTGCTTAGCTCAGGGGTTAGAGCATCGCATTTGTAATGCGATGGTCATCGGTTCGATTCCGATAGCTGGCTTTTCCATATGGAAAATCGCTTTTTGAAATCATAGTAGCAATTGACTCACATCGGAACTTACAACTATCTTAATCAAAATTTTGCTTCCTTTCTAAAAAAATAAAAAAAAAAATTCTTTTCAAAATTTATTTCCTTTAGTAGTTACGATTTTGTGATGTAAATAATTTATTGTCAAGATTAATTCACATTATTATGATTATTATATTAATGAATGATTAATGATTAGTGATTATACTTATTATCTATTTATATTATCTATGTATATTATATGAAAAATATAAAAATATCCAAACCAAAATATTTGAAAAGTTTGAGTGACATTCCTTATTCGGAATAGAATATTTATAATACATTGAATTTCTATTGATGGGCGGGATTTTATTGTATTTTCTGAAGCATATAAAAATATCTACTTAACTCAGCGGTTTAGAGTACTGCTTTCATACGGCGGGAGTCATTGGTTCAAATCCAATAGTAGGTAGAACAACTTATTAGATACCATCCACTGAGATATCTAATAAGTTTGTGACCTATCCTTTTGAATATAGATTCATGTATTTTTAAAAGAGCGGCTTTTTAGGAAATATTATGGATCGCCTTTATCCGTGTTTGAGCTCGGCGTAGAGCTAGATTTGCCTCAATTTTTTGTCTCTTTCCTCCAGCTTTTTTTTAAAATATCTTTTGCTATTTTAAGAGTTTGCTGAGCTTCTTGGGGATCAATCTCACTACCTTTTTCAGCATCATTTACCAAAACAGTGATTTCATTATTCGCTATTCGAGCAAACCCCCCCATCAGTGCCGTCGTTAACCATTGGCCGTTAAGGCGTATTTTCAAAATACCTATATCTACAGCTGTGGCAATAGGTGTGTGATTGGGTAATATTCCAATTTGCCCACTATTAGTGGATAAAATGATTTCTTCCACATCTGAATCCCAAACAATTCTATTAGGGGTCAGTACACAAAGTTTTAAAGTCATTTATTCAAATCCTTCCCTATTTTTAAATTTCTACTTTTTTAAGTGAATTGCCTTCGCGGTAACTTCATTGATATTCCCTACCAAATAAAAAGCCTGTTCAGGAAGACCATCTAATTCGCCAGCAAGGATTAAAAGAAATCCTCTAATTGTTTCAGCGAGACCTACATATTTACCTGGAGAACCGGTAAATATTTCTGCTACGAAAAAAGGTTGTGATAAGAAACGCTCAATTTTTCGCGCTCTTGCCACGTTTAAACGATCTTCTTCGGATAATTCGTCGAGCCCAAGAATAGCTATAATGTCCTGAAGTTCTTTATAACGTTGTAAAGTTTGCTTGACTCGTTGCGCAGTTTCATAATGTTCCTCACCAACGATCCGAGGTTGCAGCATCATTGACGTTGAATCTAAAGGATCAACTGCTGGATAGATACCTTTAGCAGCTAAACCTCTTGAGAGTACGGTAGTTGCATCTAAATGTGCAAATGTCGTAGCAGGGGCAGGATCAGTCAAATCATCTGCAGGTACATAAACTGCTTGTATCGAGGTTATGGAACCCTCTTTGGTGGAAGTAATTCTTTCTTGCAAAGAACCCATTTCTGTACTCAAGGTCGGTTGATAACCTACAGCAGAAGGCATTCTACCCAGTAAGGCGGATACTTCTGATCCCGCTTGAACGAAACGAAATATATTATCAATAAATAGAAGTACATCTTGCCCATTAACATCTCGGAAATATTCCGCCATAGTTAGGGCAGTCAAACCAACTCTCATACGAGCTCCTGGTGGTTCATTCATCTGACCGTAAACTAGGGCCACTTTTGATTCTGCAATATTTTGGTCATTAATTACTCCGGATTCTTTCATTTCCACATAAAGATCATTTCCTTCGCGAGTACGTTCACCCACTCCGCCAAATACGGATACTCCTCCGTGCGCTTTGGCAATATTGTTAATTAATTCCATAATGAGTACTGTTTTCCCCACTCCAGCTCCCCCGAATAGTCCGATTTTTCCTCCACAGCGATAGGGGGCTAAAAGATCTACTACTTTAATTCCTGTTTCAAAAATCGATAATTTTGTATCTAACTGTATAAAGGCGGGCGCAGATCTATGAATAGGAGATTTTTTATTAGTATCGACAGGCCCTAAATTATCAACAGGTTCTCCGAGCACGTTGAAAATTCGTCCCAGAGTTGATCCACCGACCGGGACACTTATAGGAGCTCCCGTATCAATCACTTCCATCCCTCTCATTAGACCATCTGTATCACTCATAGCTACAGCTCGAACTCGATTATTTCCCAATAATTGCTGAACCTCACAAGTCACGTTCATTTGTTTACTGGCTTGCCCTTGAACTACTAGAGCATTATAAATATAAGGCATCTTGCCAGGGCGAAAAGCTACATCTAGTACCGGACCAATTATTTGGACGATATGTCCTATATTTTTTTTTTTCAATTGAGGAAACCTCAGAACCATAAGTCGTAGGAGTGCTTCCCATAAAAAAAAAATTTACAAAACTTTTCAAATTACAAATAACTGTCCGCAAGCGCAAGATTAATTCAATAAATGTAATAAGAAAAAAGGGGGGATTCTCGCTGTCTTTTTTTATATTATCCAGATATTATCCAGTATCCAATCAATTTAATTTTTGTCGAATGAAGGAACTAAAATAGGTAAATCATTTTAAAGTGGAGGAATAAAAATATTGGGAAAGTATTTCATTAGAATTTTTTATTTCTATCCCATTAGTTTTTTTAATTTTTTTATTAAGTTAGAGAGGTAGTGTAAAAAAAGTGAAATTGAAAAACTGGGTTGCACTAGATATACAAAAGAGTATACAATATTGATGCATTTGAAAAATGACTCAAATGCTTTTAGTTTAAAAATAAAAAATTAGGATTTAGTTGATAATAGATAATATTGAGTACTCGGGGGGAATTTTGTGAACGATTCCGACCAAAAGCAAAATTCACGCATAATTTAGGTCGAGTAGATCGTTTTGTTGTCAGAATTATGAATTTATGAGTTATAAGGAGGAATATATGTCACCACAAACAGAGACTAAAGCACGTGTTGGATTCAAAGCCGGTGTGAAAGATTACAAATTGACTTATTATACTCCTCATTACGAAACCAAAGATACTGATATCTTGGCAGCATTTCGAGTCACTCCTCAGCCCGGAGTTCCCCCTGAAGAAGCGGGGGCCGCGGTAGCTGCGGAATCTTCTACTGGAACATGGACAACCGTGTGGACCGATGGACTTACCAGCCTTGATCGGTACAAGGGCCGATGCTATCGCATTGAGCGTGTTATTGGAGAAAAAGATCAATATATTGCTTATGTAGCTTACCCTTTAGACCTTTTTGAAGAAGGTTCTGTTACGAATATGTTTACTTCGATTGTAGGTAATGTATTTGGGTTTAAAGCACTCCGCGCTTTACGTCTCGAAGATCTTAGAATACCTCCAGCTTATACTAAAACTTTTCAAGGTCCGCCTCACGGCATCCAAGTTGAGAGAGATAAATTGAACAAGTATGGGCGTCCTCTGCTGGGATGTACTATTAAACCCAAATTGGGGTTATCCGCTAAAAACTACGGTCGAGCGGTTTATGAATGTCTTCGTGGTGGACTTGATTTTACCAAAGATGATGAGAATGTAAACTCACAACCCTTTATGCGTTGGAGAGACCGTTTTTTATTTTGTGCCGAAGCAATTTATAAATCACAGGCTGAAACAGGTGAAATAAAAGGACATTACTTGAATGTTACTGCAGGTACATGCGAAGAAATGCTAAAAAGAGCTTTCTTTGCTAAAGAATTGGGAGTTCCTATTATAATGCATGACTACTTAACAGGGGGATTCACTGCAAATACTTCTTTGGCTCATTATTGCCGTGATAATGGTCTCCTTCTTCACATCCACCGTGCAATGCATGCAGTTATTGATAGACAAAAAACTCATGGTATACACTTCCGCGTACTAGCGAAAGCGTTACGGCTATCCGGTGGAGATCATATTCACGCGGGTACTGTAGTAGGTAAACTAGAAGGGGAAAGAGAGATGACTTTGGGCTTTGTTGACTTATTACGCGATGATTTTGTTGAACAAGACCGAAGTCGTGGTATTTATTTCACTCAAGATTGGGTTTCTTTACCCGGTGTTATGCCTGTGGCTTCTGGGGGTATTCACGTTTGGCATATGCCTGCTCTAACTGAGATATTTGGGGATGATTCCGTACTACAGTTTGGGGGAGGAACTTTAGGTCACCCTTGGGGTAATGCGCCTGGTGCCGTAGCGAATCGAGTCGCTCTAGAAGCATGTGTACAAGCTCGTAACGAAGGGCATGATCTTGCTCAGGAAGGTAATGAAATTCTTCGACAGGCTAGTAAATGGAGCCCTGAACTAGCTGCTGCTTGTGAGGTATGGAAGGAGATTCAATTTGACTTTAAACCAGTGGATACCTTGGATCCAAATGAGAAGAAAGAAAGAGATAATAAGGAGGCTCTTGCAGGAGATAAATAGAGATAACTTATAACTTAATTCGGAGATAAGGGATGGGTAGAGGGAATTTAAGCAATCACTAACCCCCTTCTCTTCTGAATTGCAATTCAATTTGGCCCAATCTTTTACTAAAATCATTCAAATACTAAAAAAAGTAAACAGATTGAGCCGTCGGATATCTATCCATATTAATGAGCTTATTATTTAGATTTGGTTTGGGTATAGGTAGACGAGAACAAATAGTTAAACTTGGTAATTGAGGTAGAGTTATATAAAACGACTATTCCATCTATTGCTATTGTGTATTTTCTATTGTATTTTCATGCAAAAAACAAGGGGCAATAATTATGGAAATGTGGGGGGATAATTCATTGGATAAGAAATTTGAACGTGGATCGGACCTAACTAAATCAATGGATGGTGTTAACCGTCCTATTGAAGAAAATAGCAGGCAAAATGAAGATACGAAGAAGCAAGAGATGTTTGAAAACATTCAGACTTGGGAGGATCGTGACAATTCCAGTTGCAGTAATGTTGATTCTGTCTTCGAGTTAAACTATAGTGAAAGTGTCATCTTTGATGACACT